CCAAAAAACTACTAGAACTGATATACAAATTCAGTAAGTTGCGGGTTATAAAATCAGTAGCATTTCTATAAACTTAAAACTATCCAAAAAAGAAATTAAGAAAACAATCCCATTTGCAATAGCATCAAAAAAAAAAATATTTAGGAGTAAATTTAACCAAGGAGGTGAAAGATCTGTACCACTGAAAATTATAAAATAGGCTGGGTGCAGGGGCTCATGCCTATAATCCCAGCACCTTGGGAGGCCAAGGAGGGAGGATTGCTTGAGACTCAGAGTTCAAGACCAACCTAAGCAACATAGTGAGACCCCACCTCTACAAAAAATAAAAAAATTTTCAGGCATGGTGGTGTGCACCTGTAGTCCTAGCTATCCGGGAGGCCGAAGCAGGATTGCTCAAGCAGCAATCTTGCTTGAGCCCAGGAGTTCAAGGATGCAGTGAGTTATGACCCTGCCAGTGCACTCCAGCCTAGAGGATAGAGCAAGACCTTGTCTCAAAAACAAACAAACCAAACCAGCATGGTACTGGCATAAAAACAGACATATAGACCAACGGAACAGGATAGAAAGCCCAGTAAGAATCCAAGTACTTATGGTCAATTGACTTTCAACAAAGGTGCCAAGAACACACGATGGGGAAAGGACAGTCTCTTTAATAAACGATTTTGGGGAAACGGAGTAAGAAATGGGCAAAGGATGTGAACAGTCATTTCTCAAAAGAATATATATGAATGGCCGACAGACATATGAAAAATTCTTCAATATCTCTAATAATCTCAGAAATGCAAAGTAAAACCACAATAAGATGTAACTTCATACCTGTTAAAATGGATATTATCAAAAAGAATGATATCAAGTGTTAGTGAGGATGTGCCAAAAAGGGAACTCTTGTACACTGTTGGTGGGAATGTAAATTAGTACAGGTTAAGCATCCCTAATCCAAAAATCTGAAATCCAAAATGCTCCAAATCCCAAAACTTTGTTGAGTGCCAACATGATGCCAGAAGTGGAAAATTCCACATTTGGCTTCATATGATGAGTCACAACCAAAACACAGTCAAAACTGTGTCGTGCACAAAATTATTTAAAATATTGTATAAAATCACTTTCAGGCTATGTGTATAAGGTATATATGAAATATAAATGAATTTCATGTTTAGACTTGTGTACAATCTCCAAGATACTGCATTATGTATATGCAAATGTTTTAAAATCCAAAAAAATCTGAAACCTGAAACTCTTCTGGTCCCAGGCATTTTTGGATAAGTGATACTCAGCTTGTACAGCCATGTTGGAAAATAGTTTGGCAGTTCCTTAGAAAAGTAAAAATAGAATTACCATGTGATCCAGCAATCCCCACTTCTGAGTATATATGCAAAGGAACTGAAATCAATATGTCAAAGAGATATCTGCACTCCCATGTTCATTTCAGCATTATTCACAATAGCCAAGATATGGAAGCAACCTAAGAGTCCATCAACAGATGAATGGATAAAGAAAATGTGGTATGTCAGCAGCAACAAAAATAAATAAATGGGACCTGATGAAATTAAAAAGCTTCTGCAAGGCCAGGCACAGTGGCTCATGCCTGTAATTCTAGCACTCTGGGAGGCCGAGGTGGGTGGATCGTTTGAGCTCAGTGAGTTCGAGACCAGCCTGAGCAAGAATGAGACCCCGTCTCTACCGAAAATAGAAAGAAATTAATTGGACAGCTAAAAATATATAGAAAAAAAATTAGCTGGGCATGGTGGCGTGTGCCTGTAGTCCCAGCTACCCAGGAGGCTGAGGCAGAAGGATCGCTTGAGCCCAGGATTTGAGGTTGCTGTGAGCTAGGCTGACGTCACGGCACTCACTCTAGCCCGGGCAACAAAGTGAGACTCTGTCTCAAA